GCTGATGACACTCACAATTCCCTTTATAGCCCTCGCAAAGCCAGGCCCACTGATTCTCTCTCTGAGGCCAGGCCTAGAAAAGAGGATGTGAGTTTGCAGTATAGAAAACAACTTAGAGCCAAAAAATTAATTGAAAAACAAATTAAGTCTTTATTGTCATCTCTTGGAAATGCCAAAAAATTCATAAACCACAATAAATCTTTTCCAAAAAAAATTTATTTGCAGTCCTGGGCCCCCCTATTACATGCACAGGTCCTCCAGGCCACAGCAGATCCTACTGCTCTTTCCTATTATTATTTGTATTTTTCATAGTAAGGAACCAAATAAAGAATGGATATAATTGATTGCTTACAGTCACATAAGTTATTTTAACACGACATATATAAATAGTTCCTTTATCCTTGTCCACGGCAGACTAGTCTGTGAAAACATTTTTAAGAGTAAGTTTTTGTCAACAGTATGCACTTACTACAAAGAAGGCATGGTTTTAGATGCCAGGAAAATAAGGATAAATAAGAGATAAGATCCTTGCCCTTGTATAGACCTTCCATGTAGGCTGGGTAGGGAGGAGAAGGAGTGTTCTTATACAGAGGTGAGAAGCAAACTGATAAATTGATGAGATAATGAATGAGAAGTGCTATAAAGAAAATGGAATAGAAAGATGTGATGTTCAGAGGCAGGAGTGGGTGTGCTTGTGGCTTCATAAGTCTGTTTGGACAGGGAGGCCTTCCTGAAAAGAAGATCTGGAGTCAGATCATTATAGGAGAAGAACGCAAGTATGAAAATTTCCTAAGATGTGAGATAAGGGGACATACTGATGGGGGTAGTGATCTTAATGTATTTATAAAACAAAAAGAAAGCCAATGATGGTAGAGCTATGAAGTGAGGTCAGTGGGGAATGCAGTGAGAAAGATATTCAGCATATAGTTCACATGGAAAGGTATTTGCCAAGGCAAGGAGTTGAATTTATTCTATGTATACTGGGAAGCATTGGAAGAATTTAAGCAAGGGAGAAAAGTATGAGCTGATTATTTTCTATAAAGATCACTTTGCTTGTTATACTGAAAATAAGGGAATTTTGGGGTTACTAAGGTATGTATAGCTAGGACCTAAGAAAACAACAACAAAATGCAGATTTCTTAGATAAGGGAAATACCAATAGAGAAAGGGATAAGTGAACAAATTCAGAAAATATGCTTAGATAGGGCAGACAAAATTTGCCAAGGAACTAGATGTGAAGGTGAGAAAAAGTGAAAGATAAATGGTGATGCCTGGTATTTGCATTAAGCAACAAGGTATAGTTGTACCATTTCCTAAGCTAGGAAAAATTGATTCAAAATAGAAAAAGATGGATGGAATCGTAGTTCAGATTTACCTGTGCTAAGTTTGAGATGCCTAGTGGACAGGTACGTAAAGATGTCAAAACTGGCATCTGGCATCTGCTGTGTTAAGAATCAGTTTGCTGCTTTCTTAGCTCAGAATATCTTCCTTCCCTTCTTCAGCAATTTCCTGTTCACCCTTCAAGTGTCAGTTCATATGCCCTTCTCTGACCAGTTAGCTTCTCTCTTCTCATATGTCTATTTCAGCATTGATCATGAGGAAGAGGCAGAACATGAATGGTTTCAAGAGCTATTTGAGGAGGTAGACATCAGCAGGAGGTAGTGATTGTTTGATGCAAGGTGTGGAGGGTGAGCAGGTGTCAACAGGGATTCCCTGGATTCTGGCTTGTCCATCAGTATAAATGATGGTACTATTCACTGAGATACAGAATGCTAGAATGGAATGAGGCTTAGGAGGACAAAGAAAGAATCAGAGACCATTTTTAATAGCATTTAATTTGAGGTGCATATTAGGCAGCCATATAAAGATGTGGAGAGGACAGCTGGCTATTAGGGTCTGCCATGATTTTCAGAGACAATAATTATGTGAAGAACAATAGGGGTAAAGAGAGAGCTTAGAGCAATAAAATAGAGATTAGGAGCAAGTATTAAGAAGATCCAACATGTAAAGTTTGGTTAAAAGAAGATAGGTCTGAAAAGTAGATTGGGAAAAGAACATCCAAACAAATAAGAGAAGAATTAGGAAAATATTAGATCATGGAAACCAAGAGGAAATAGATTTTTGGGAAAGAGGGATTGGTCAACAGTGTTAAATGCTGCATAGAAGTATCTACTAATAAGCCAAACCTATTATTCTGCTAGTGAATAATGTATGCTAGTGACAGATGACACCAGCTTCCCTACATTCTGTGATGTCATGGATCCAGCTTGAATTGGCACAGTCTAAGTATTCTCATCATGGAAATCAGCAAGTGCTACAAATTAGGGCTTCTTCTACCTATGCTCTACCCACTGACTGAGGCTGGACACTGGAGTCATTAGGGAGCTAATAAATATACCAGTTCTGGGTCCCATTTCCAAACAGGGTAATTTATTTACTCTGGGTGGGCCCTACACACATGGTATTCTTACATGATCCCTGGAAATTCAATTCAATTATACAAGTAAGATCAAGAACCACAGATCCATGAGGAATTAAAGACCCATGCATTTGGTGTGCAGAGAACATAATATTGATGTCCAGGAAGCAATAAAATATATTAGTCCATAGGATATAGTTCAGGATTCCAGTTACGAAAGACTGGAAGTGACACACTCTGAGCAGGCGTAGTGTGAAGTCACAAGTTAGGTCAAGGAAGAAAGAAAACAACTATATGTCTAGGTAGGCACAGTTCAGAATCTTTTCACCAGCCTTCTTGTCACAGAATACAGCCTAAAAATTGTCCAACTCACAAAGGAGAGTAGAGTTTAGCCAAGTTATAAATAGAAACTTCCATCTGTAAATATTGTCCAGCTGTACCTAAAACCTGGCTTTACCCCTGAGCTTTATAGGAGCCAATAAATCCTCCTCATACATTGGGGTCCTTTGTTACTTGTACCTGAAAGTTTTGGGGTTTTTTTTGTCATTAGAGGGGTATGAACAGTGATCTCCTTTTTTATCTTGTCTTATATTCAGAAAAAAATTTATTACAAATAAAAACGATGCCTACTCATGGCATAGGTGAGCAGTACAAACTGCAGTCATTGATCTGCCATATCAGTGAAGACCCAAAATGTTCAATATTCTCCTCTCTTCTGTTATTGAATCACACTTTTTTTGTTTTATGCTGGCAACATTTCCTATTGATTTATAAATAAATATCTGTGACATTTATATTACCTAATATGGAGGAGTACACACAGGACTCTGATTTTATCTTACAATGAAGTAGTTTTATAGAAAAGTTAGTCAAGTATTTTTATTTTGGATAAGTGGGGGTGAGTTAAGAAATATACCCACTGTTAGGGTTCCTACTGTGTTGCCTATAAAATTCAAAATAGCCCATATTCTGGGTTTCTTTTAGGTAAATAATTTTAGTTCGTTTCAAGAGGAGTGAGCAAGGCAACTTGAAAGATCACTTGTCCTGCTTTCAGAACTCATGGCAATTTTATAAGAGGTAAGTGGAGGGGGAAAGAGCCTCTTAACCAATTAGCCACAAGGCCACACAATAGCTTAGAATTAAAATTACCCAGACATGAGGATCCAAGAAGGGTCTCATTTATGTCATCAAAGAGGTTCTATTGCTATTGAAATGAGTAAGAGGGTAACAGTTTTAATGGTCCTATAATAAAGTGATTAAGATTATATGAAAGTAGGTAGGACCAAAAGTCTCTACAAGTGGTGGAGACTTAATGAGGCTTTTTACCTGGTCTATTTTCCAATTCAGATTATTCTGTGGGTAGTATTATAATGTAAGAAGAGGATTTTTCAACTGTCTGAGTTTTCTTTTGTCTTCTTCAGAGGTAATATATGTTTAGTTTGGTTTTATAAAAGGCTATGTGAGCTTAAATCAATACACTAACAGAACCTCCTAATGTCCTCCAGATATTTTTTAGAATTCAGAAGAAAGTGAAATAGAAAAATGATGGCAACACAGGGAAAATTAAGTTCCTTTTTCTAAAGCTATATCAGTATTTGGACTAACAAAATTACTTTTCTAACCAAAAAAAATTTAAAAGCTATAAAACAGTTCTGTGATTGGTTCGTTATTTTTATAGCCAAAGTTTGCTCTTCTGATATTTTAGGTCAAACCAAAGAAGTAGAGATCATTGTTGAGTAAGTTAAATATACACAAGATTTCTCCTGATTATCAGTCATAAAACTATTCTAATATCTTTCTTTGATGGGTTGATAAAAATGTATGTTTCTTCCTTCAGCTCCAAGAATGGACTGTATTCATAGAATTTAAAACTCATTTTATGGACATTACTAGAGACTCATGAACTCTGAGGAAAAGAATTGCTTTGCTTCACTTTGGCATGTTACTTTTGTTTTGGAAATATTTAAGGAAAAATGTCTATGTCTTGGATTTTGTTGGATGTTTCTCAACCTTTGTTTTTTCATTACCTTCTTCCTAAGGAGAAATTTTTTCTTTTAATCAGTGAATTTAAATTACATAATTTATTTAATGAATTAAATTTTAAATTAAATTAAATGTCTTCCTACTGAGAACAATTAAAGTCTAATCAAGAAGATTTGTTGGGTAGAGTTGCACATCAGAGGCCTACAAACCACTGTAGTATCTAAGATTCTTTTCACTCCCTCTTTAAAAAGTCAATTTTCACCTCTTTGCAGGATTAAAGCTGAGATACACATTCTAACTAAAAATGAGCAAAGTAGGCTCCTTGTAAGAATCCTAAAGAATCTCCCAAAACCCAATTATAGTAAGTACAACTAGGCTCCAAGCTCCAACCAAAATGCAAAGCCATTCAGCCAAAAGCTAGCTTCACCATTTCTTATCTCAGTTTTCTATTTTTTGTTTGTTTCTTTGCTTTTTCAGGTACTGGGAATTGAACCTATGGAAATTCTACCACTGAGATACATCCCTAGCCCTTTTCACTTTTTATTTTGAGGCAGAGTCTCACTAAGTTGCTCATTTTGGTCTTGAACTTGCAACCCTCCTGCTTTAGTCTCCAGAGTAGCTGGGATTACAGGTATGCACTGCCATGTTAAGCTAAGTTTTATCTATATCATCTTTTCCTTTCTGCTTCTACTGATCTGAACAAGCAGCCACCCAAATGACACATTCACATATACTCTGGAATAGAGAATACGTCGTGTTATTCATCTCTTATTAGTCTGATGGGAAGGGAAACCCTATCAACAGGAGGGTCATCTCAAATTTAGGTGTCCAAGGGAATCCCCTAAAGAACTTACTAAAATTCAGATACATGTGGATTTTTTTTATGTAAGAACACATACAGTATAGATTATTCATTCTATTTCTCTACTTTCTTCCCTAATTTCTCATTCATAGAATTGTTTTTAGTACTGCCTCTTTGCAGAGATGATATAAATAATTAACTAAAGGTGCCCTATTGTGCTGTTCTATCTTGCTGCCAACAGGACTTTCCTCCACCTGGATTTTAAGCAGAAAGTGCATAGATTGCTGAGAAGACAGCTCATAGTTGAAAAAAAAAATGATGTTTCATTTTTGAGATTCTCAGCTCAAGCAGGCACACTCTCAAATACATGCCATTCACAACAGCGAGGCTGTCATGGTGGTGTGAGAGAGCAGGAGGGGGCAGGAGAATGAGGGGAACCCTATCTGAGAAGGAGGGAGGGACACTGTGTTATCCCTTCTTCAAAGGAGCTTTGCAGCCGGAATAGGGGCAGTGGTGGGGAGAAGAAAGTGGGGAAGAGAGGTACCCAAGAGCATTTCTTCTGAAGTTTTTTAGATGATTCTGAATAATAAAGAAAATGAATTTTGTATCTCATTTGGTGGTTGCTTTCTGGTAAACCTGCACCACATCTGCTAGTGCAAGATATGTGCTATTGCAAGAATAAAGAACAGCAGTGACATGGAGTGGCTAACCTTAGAAAGCCTGAGCAAAGTCTGCTCCTGACAGGTAAAAGTGTATTGAACAATGTCACAGAAATTAGACTGGAGGACCAAATACTAGGTGTCACCAAGAACTATCCAATGGGGATGTGGAGACCCCAACAGAGGTCAGCAATAGACCTCACTGAGAGAGGTGGAACAAAATGGCTGTGCCTTCCTAGGATTGCTTACACCGAGGAACCTCTCATGTGCTACAACAGTGAGCCAATATTGTTCACAGTCCTGGACTTAGTTGCTACTGCAAGCCCTAGCAGCTGTACAAACCAGTCAAAGCTGGGAGAGGAGGCCACCTGATTACATTCACCCTGCTTCCAACCCACCTCACACTTTGAGGTGAGGGCTAGACCCATTGGATTTCTAAGGGAAAAGAAAACAAAAAAATTCAGCTCTGAACTTGACAGAGACTGAAATAATACTGTTAATAATACCTGTACTAGAATGGAATGATTTCACGGATCATACTGACCATCCAAAAAATACTGAATCTTAACACAAAAATGTCCAACTATAACGGGATTAAGTTCTCTGAGTCTAAGCAAGAAAGAAAACAGATAAAAGAAGTTCAAAACAAAGATAAATTTATTCTTATACAATTTTATTTGCAACTGCCCAAATCACACTTGTTATACTCTCTTGACTTCCAGCGGTAATGTTCATAGAAGATATGAAAGCACTAGATTGATTTATAATAAAAGTCCTTAAAATGCAGACTTTCTACAAAAAAAAAAATTTCAATGAATCTCAATTCTATTAGCTTTAGTTTCTCTGAGAAACAAATTATGAAAAGAAAATCCTTCTCTCTCTACAGTTTTGGATTAAATGGAGAATGAATTGTAAGGAAAAATTACATCAGGAAATGTTATGGGCCTTTGTTCCTGGACTTTATAGAAACAAGCTGGCTATGGGGAGTAAAGCTGGCTTGTCATAGTGATGGGACTCTGCAGAGTCAAGCCACAAACAACAGGCAAAATACAGGAGACAAAGAGCAAGCTTTAAAACCCACCACCCCAGTGTTTTCTACCTCCTTTTTAAATATCACATTGTTTTTCCCCCCTGAGGATTTATACAAACTGCCATTTTTAATTTTTTTACAACTATATCCTATTTCACAGTACAAATACATCATCATTTTTTAAACCTAGTTCTCTGTTTTTAACATTTCAATTGCTCTTTCCTTTCCACCCTCTATTCTCCCCTCTCTCCCTCCCTCCCTCCCTCTTTTCTTTTCTTCCTTTCTTCCTTTTCTCTTACATTTAATGTGCCAATGAATATTCTCCACTGAAGTTGCATGCATATTTCTCTGTATTAGATACCAAAAGGAATACTTTCTTTCTAAAAAATCTCTGAATTTTAAGTTTAGATAAATATGCCAAGTTCCCTTTCTAAAAGCATTTCCATTTCACACACTCAGAAACACTGTTTCTTTTCTCCATTCTCAAACTTTTAAATGCTTGTCTGAAGAACACATTCATATTGCATTGTTGTTTAAACTTCCTTTTCCCTATTAACAGTAATGGTGAAGCCTTCTTAAATTTATATACCAATGGTTATACCTAGTAATTACTTTTTGGGGTCATATCCATCCAATATATGCAAACAATAATGGTAAATGTGTGAAAACATATTATCCTGACTATTAATACAGTGTTTAGCTTTTAAACTATCAAAGTACTAAATTCTATTAACAAACATCTTGCTATTGAATTCTTTGCTCAGTTACTTCACTAGGATATGACTAATGGTCTTTTTCCCATTCACTTTTCTTACCATTCAACTGATCCTTTCAAGCTGAAGCTTTGTGTTTTAGATTGGAGGGGTTTTTTTTCCCTATGATTTGTATCACTTCTCCACATTTCCTTGACTCTCTACTATACCAAACAAACAAACAAAAAACCCAGTCGGATGGATTTTGGACCTCAGATATTGAGCCTCTATGCCTCACACAACTTTAAAGTCTAAACTTTTTTTTTTTACCAGATTAGTAATGTTTTTACTTCTGTCCTTTTTATTATATAGCCCTTCTGTTAATTTTTAAATTTAAGAAAGTGAAATTTTAGTTTCCATTAATTCTGCATTTTCTGATTACTGTTTTTTTTTTTTCATAGATGTGTGCTGTGCTTTTATGAATCCATAGTCTTTTGAATTTTATTGATGATATCAATTGGGACTGATTTACTGTTTTCTTCAGTTTTCTGTGTTATCTCTGTTGCCAACCATTATGTGAGTTCCCTGGGTTCTTCCTTTTATACTGTTAGTTTTTATCCAACGCCCAGTGATCCTTTGTTGCCCATTTATTTTATGAATAATATACCACGATTAACATATAGAACAGAGTGGGTGTTCTCAATTTCTCCATTGTGCTTCTCTACTGCCTAGAGGAGAAGAGGATTCCCCAGTCAGCCTGCCTGCTTTACACCCACATCCTCCAAACCCTCTCTCTTGATAAAATAAAAAGTACTTGAGCTACTCAAGAATGTTGGTGTATTTGCCTCTTACCCCACATCTATCATGAGATTTAGCAATTTGTCAGATCCCATGTCTTTACTTTCCTTAGAGGGCAGGTATTCTGTTTTGCCTGTGGCAAAAGTACCTCCAGTCACCTTTTGTAAAGGGTGAGAGAACAAAGGAGGAGGTCTAGCCTGCATATTCTAAAGCAGGTTAAAGATTCTCCCAAAGAGGTCTCCCACAACTTTTACCCTCTTCTTATCAGGTCTGCTGAGAAGCTGATCCAGAGAAATTTAAGTTCAGAGGGAATTTCTTCTTCATTTGTATTGGGCTGTGGAGTCCTGTGCTTTTGCCAATCCTATCACTTCAATTTTCAATAGTCCAGAAATTTCTTAGTTTCTGGCAGAAGAGGATGTTCTTTCTTATTTACCAGCTCTGTGACATGTTCATAACTTTTCAGTAATTTTAATATCTTTTTGTGCACAAAGGAAGAAAGTATATATGTGCTGTACATGTCCATTATCCTGATCAGTTCCCTAGGACTCTTGGTAGAACCTCTTCTCAGCCCTTTCTTTGCCCAAGCTGTTGGATTTAAACATCACCTAACCCTACCTGTTATGTGTGGACTCTCCTGCAATTTCTTTTTCAAATGTGTGGTAGTTGCATAATAAGATATTACTTTGTCATTTCTTCCCTAACGTTCTCATCTGTATAAACACAAACAAGAACCTGAGTCCTCTGAGTCTCATGGGTCCAAACCGCAGATCCCAACCAAAAATGAGATGTGCACATTTGGGAAGGTGCCTTGTTGGATTATGTGATTGCTTCCTCCATTCCAGTCATTGCATAAAATAGGTTAATTAACAAGCCGACTTCAGCCTTACTAAATTTATTATGAATTATATGTTCAGGGATGTTGGTAAAAGGCCAACACTGGCATCTCTTTAACTAGTAATTATTGTGTTTTATTGTTGTGGACCTATAATGCATTAACGAGCCAGGACTCGGCTTTATTAGAATGCACGTGGCTCCTCAGTTCCATGCATATTTATTATGTGAGAGAATGGGATTCTTCTTCTCTAGCCTTCACTAATTTAAAAGAAGATATCCTCAATGAAATGTATTCAAATATTTTGACATTTTGCTTCACCTCACTTACAGAGCAGAAATTGTTTCTGACAGTTATTATACAGAGCTGGAATCCTGCTGCTTCCACTGTTGAAGAACAGGTTGAAAAGACACAGCGCTTGCATTTTGTTCAAAGAGTGATTCTGTGGCTTAGAAATAGCAGCACTGTCAGCTGTGATTCACTGAGAGTTTAGATAATATCCAGTCTGTAGTCACTGCTAACATGGGCTTAGAGTGGAAGAAAATGAATGGAAGTTGGTGCCCTGAGGTTACCCAGGAGGATGAGTATAAAACACGAAGCTGGCATTTGGACACCTAAAATTTGGTAGAAATCTTCCTCCTCTTTCACATTGTCAGTCCCCCATTATACCAGGCTTAAATTTCCAATGCACTTATTTACACAAGGCATACAACAGTAAATGTTAAATTGAAATACTGGGGCATTAGAGAAGCTTGAACTGTTGAAAGTGATTAGAAACAGCAGTTGATGAGCATTTCTTTGATTCTATTGCATTAAAA